ACACTTACAAAACATACCCTGCTGATTTTCTAAATATTTTTGAAGTCAATGCCAAATGTTGGTTATTTACATCATATTTGTTTTTACAACAATCCTATATCAATAATGTAAACATATTCTTTCCTATGATAATCCATCTTCTTCTTCTGACATCAGGAGATATCCATTCCAACCCTGGTCCAAACTCTAGTAATATGACGGCAACCCATTCACTGAATCTTATGCATCTTAACATTAGAAGTATACGAAACAAAATAGGCTACATTGACGCATTGACCGACGATGTCGACATTCTTTGTATAACCGAAACTCATTTGGATCCTTCTATTACTAATGAAGAAATTACGCTACAGGGCTTTAGTGACAAACCGTTTAGAAAAGATAGGAATATGTTCGGAGGGGGTGTATTGTTATACTATTCTCCATCTCTCGTAGTTAAAAGAAAACTTGAGTTAGAATTTGCTAATGACGAAGTAATATGGGTACAAGTTTATTCAAATAATATTACACATATAATAGGAAATCTATACAGACCACCTAATCTAAATTATTCTGACGGTATATGGCAGAGACTAAAACATTCCCTCGACCTGGCATTCGATATTACAGATAATGTTATTTTGATGGGCGATCTAAATGTTGACTTTTTAAAATCCTCCAGAGATGAATTATTCGACCTTCTCACTTTGTACCAGATGTCAAATATTATAACCGAACCTACCAGAATAACGGACCATTCAGCAACATTATTAGATCCAGTAATTATCAGTAACACAATCAACACTTTTTTCAGTGAAGTTATTAATATAGACGACAATATAAGTGACCACAATGCTGTTTTTACAATAATTGAAGTACCGAAACAAACCCAAACAGTTTTCAAACGAAAGGTATGGCTATATGACAAAACAGACATCGAAAAGCTTAAACATTTTATCATAAATATATCGTGGGTAAACCAATTTAATATGTTTAATGACGTTAATGACATGTGTGATTTTCTGACAACCACTATACTTAACGCTGTAGATATATGCATACCATCTAAATATGTGCAGATTAGACAACATGACAAACCCTGGATCAATAATATTGTCAGAAGACAAATACGTAATAGAAATCGATTAAAAAAATACTTATAAATAATAATAATGATCTTAATAGGACGAAATTTAAACAATCAAGAAATAAAACAAATAATATGATAAAACGAGCAAAAGAACTTTTCTACGAAAATATCAACTCTATCATAGTCAAAAATAAATCTAACCCCAAAACATATTGGAAATTGTTAAGGTTTGTACTGAAAGGAAGCAAAACTACTGATATATCACCACTTTTTGATGACAATGCTAACGAATTCACGAATGATAATGACCTTAAATGTGAACTTCTTAATAACTATTTTTCTTCAATATCCAGTCATTCCGAAGTAGACCAAAACAAACCTATTCCCATTTTAGAAAAACGAACAGACTCTCTTTTGTCCGAAATTTATATTATACCTTCTGAAATAGTTGATATTATTAACATACTAGATGTAAATAAGGCAACAGGGCCTGACGGAATCTGTCATCGAATGTTAAAACTTGTAGCAAATGAAATTGCCATTCCCCTTTCCCTCATTTTTAATCACTCCTTAAACAATGGTATATATCCCGATAAATGGAAATTAGCAAACGTCATGCCGATCTTTAAGTCTGGCGACGCTCATAATGCTTCAACTTATAGACCAATATCATTATTAAGCTGTGTTGGAAAATTTATTGAACATGTAGTCTATAAACATATTTACAACTTTTTTTAACTCTAATAATCTTATTTACAAACTTCAGTCTTGATTCTTACCCAATCATTCTTGTACGCATCAACTCATTGAAATGTACTATTCTATGATGTTAGCATTAGAAAACCATGAACATATAGCTTTTACTTTTTGTGATTTTTCAAAGGCCTTCGATCGAGTTTGGCATATAGGGCTTTTATACAAACTTCAACAACATGGTATTTCAGGCAGTCTTCTTAATTGGATAACAAACTATCTTTTTGAGCGTAAGCAATCCGTCTTTATTCACGATTCTCATTCTTCTGTAAAAAATATAAACGCTGGTGTTCCCCAAGGTTCAGTGTTAGGCCCTTTATTCTTCTTGATTTATATTAACGACATTTCAACCGAACTCTCCTCATTATCTCGTCTTTTTGCTGACGATACGTCGCTTTCATACTCATCACCAAACCTAGAAAATATTGTAAGTGAAGTAAATAAAGACCTAAAAACTCTAGAGAAATGGTCTAAAAATTGGCTGATGTCTTTCAATCCTAAAAAACCCGAAATCATGATTGTTTCTAATACAAATCTACCCTTTCAACCCCAATTTATTTTTAACGATACTTCTATCCTTTTAACAGATAGCCACAAACACCTTGGAGTTATACTAAGTAGCGACGGTAAATGGAATAAACATGTAGACGAACTTATCAAAAAAGTGGCTAAATATATAGCAACCCTTCGTAAAATGAAATGGTAACTCAATAGAAATAACCTTGAAAAACTATATTTAACGTACATTCGACCATTATTAGAATATGCATGTGAAGTCTGGGACAATTGTGGAATGACAAATTCATCAAAACTTGAAAATATTCAGATAGATGCTGCACGAATTGTTACAGGACTACCTATTTACACAAAAATTGAACATATATTTAATGAAATTGGCTGGGTTCCACTAAGTAATAGAAGGAAAAACAGAAAATTGTCCCTATTCTTTACAATTAAAAACGGTACAGCTCCTAATTATTTGTGTGACACCTTACCAGATAGCATTGGGGATATTTCTCGTTATAACCTAAGAAATTCCCAACATTTAAGACAACCAAACTTTAGGCTTGAAACAATGCGCAATTCTTTTTTCCCATCAACTACAAAAATGTGGAATGACCTAGATATATCTATAAGGAATTCGGCTTCTCTCAGTTCATTTAAATCAAATATAAAATCAAAAGGTAAACCACAAAATAAATGCTTTCTGGTATGGGGTTCCCGTAAATCAAATATACTTCATTGCCGTTTGAGAAATCGTGCGAGCTCCCTTAACTATGACCTATTTAGAGCAAATTTATCAAATACAGCTGAATGTGCATGCGGTAATCCATGTGAAGACTCTTATCACTTCCTTTGTGTCTGTCCCTTATACACCCAGCATCGTAATCTATTAATAAGAGAGCTTCAACCTGTTCGTGATGATTTAACTTTAGACTTGCTCCTATATGGCGATCCTAAATTCAGCATTAATGTAAATACCTCAATTGCAAAATCTGTCCAAAATTATATCAGCAAATGCAACAGGTTTGACTGAATGTGATCATCTTTCTCTCTCTATCACTCTTTTTTTTCTCCGACTCTACCTGTGTTACTATCATTTACTTCATTACTCTATCCGTCTTTTCTTCCACTCTATTTTTCATCTACTCTATCTGTGTTACTATCCTTTACTTCGTTTCGCTCTCCTTCTTTTCTTCGTCTCTATTTTCCATTTCCATATAAAAACATAATTAATGTATATTGCGTAAATACCCTTCAAGTTATTGTTTATATTCATTTATTTGAAGAAAAGGACTTTGATAAGTTGGTAAAACTTGTGTCCAATTCTTTTGTAAATATTTATTTGCAATAAAATATGTTTAAACAAGGTCAAAGGTCAAATTTGTGCAAAGCATTTTCAGGAATGTCTTGTCGGGGACGTTACTTTTAAACCGTTGAACAGGAGACAAATGTTTTTGTTAACAAAATAAATCTCTTGTTAAAAACTAGGTTATTTATCTTCGAAGATAAGTCATCAAATGTAGACTATGCGAATATGATTTTAAAATATCGCAAGGAACTTGAGGCTTTACAAGGTCTGTTGTGTTATTGAAAATAAGGCCTACTTCTTCAAATGTGCATTAAACTGAAATTGGTGATGCGACTTCTTTTTCTTATTTTATAAAGTACAAAATAACTGAAACATAACTGATCATGGTCTGAAAACGTGTCTGTCTCTCCTTCCGCTGAGACACCACACCTGGTTATTCACGGTTCTTCTTGTTACTGAAGTTGTCTCTAGAACTGAGTTGAGTTGGCCTTCCTATCTAGTAAACCTTTTATCTTCTAGTCATTGTGTCATGCGTCTAGTCATGCGTTTAAGAGGATTATTTTTCATCAAATTATTTTTTCAAAGTATAGATAAATCAATAATTGTGATGTAGGGAACGCTTGTTAAACCGTGTCCTATCATCAAGTTACGCCTTTATGATATTTTATTGGTTTTATGATGTTTTTGGGGATTTATGATATTTTTGGGGATTTATGATATATTTTGGGATTTATGATGTTTTGCGTCTCTGATTTGTGTTGGATTGGTATCATCTTTTCTATCCCATACACTCAGTTTATAGCACACACCCCTTTACAAGATCTCACAATGTTATTTCTCAATCATTGGATCAAGATATTTCAAACAACATTGTAATTTGTAGTACTCTTGTTTAAACCCACACAAACAATTTTGTTGCTGAGAATTCCACACAGGTATATTTCAATGGATAAAAACTAATTGATATGATGATGATAAAACGAGTTGGAGACAAATTTTATTCAGGGAACTTGAGACGGATGTTTTACATAAATTATTTAAAAAATGTTTTGAATTCACCGATAAAAGCAATAATTATGCCTGATTTACGAAACAGTAGTAAATGTTCCCTACTGTCGAACACTAGGTTTGTTGTAAGGTTGTGTTTGGTATTAGGATGTCGGCGATGTTGAAACGCAAATTTCTAAGGTGATAGTAACACTTACTGCTATCACAAGGAGGCAAGTAAACCAACATACCCTGCCTCCAGCACACATGCAGGCATACACTACACACTTGGAGACACGTCATTAAATGACCTTAGCTGTTAACCGGACGTTAAACAAAATAAAACCAAACTTAACCAATCTTGGATCGTATCTGAAATATCAAGGATATTTAATGGTTTCCCGTTGATGACCATATATACTTTACAAGTATGGCAGAATACAAGTGCGAACTTCAAGTGGAAATATCGATATGGTCAGACATAGGAGTGAAATACATATGGTATTCAACAGAAAAAAACGTTAAAATATCCATTTATTACATTTTTGAAAACCCACCGACAAAATGATTGCTTTATAAAAAGTGCGGAAATTAGTACCTTGATATTTGACGCTAGGTTCTAATGACGTCACGCTTGACAGTAATGCTGTGCGGCCATGTTGAATGGGTTTACCAGCATAATTATGACGTCACAAAGCATGCAAGGTCAGATTTTCTAGCTAATTTCACGACTTCCATGTGTTACATAAGCCAAATCTGCCGCGGTATTATAGGCCGAACCTACCCCAAATTGATATTTCAATAAATTCGTATATTACAGCAATAATAATTCAATTTTAGCTATTCCCCCAATGTTACACTTGTTCAAGTCCTTAAGATTGGAATAGATAAAAAAAAAATGGTCAATTGATATATTGACCGGAAAACGAAGTACAAGCCGAGGTTCGGTTTTCTGTCTGTGCATCGATATACCAATTTGTCATTTTGTCAAATCTTATAATTCAACTTCAAAACTAAACAGAAAACGTCTATAACGCTAAATATGTGTCAAATTTATTTACAATAACAATCGTATTTTTTATGAATGACGCAATGATTTTAAAATGATCAATCAAATGCTGTGTTTTAAATTCCCCGGGCGCGTACTACGACGCACCAATGTAGTTTCACAGGCTCATTTATTCTCAAATTATGACCTTACAAGGCCATATCTAGATTTTTGCTAGTCGTTGGGAATATTTCGATATTATTTGATCTGTCCTTTGATAGACTGTAAACACAAATCAAATGCAAAAGCGTGGTGCAAACAATAGTAAATTATCATTGTATAAACTAAGAAATAGACAATACAAAAATTGATAACGTCGTACAATTGTAATTCTTGATTACTTGAAGTTGTTTGGCGATGAAATTAATGCGCAATATCGTGTTTTGTGCAATCTTATTTTATTTTAATCAGAAATTAATATATATTCATTAAATATGAATTAAAAATTGTTCTTTAAAATCAAATTATAAGGCATAACCATGATTATTTTTTCGTTTATACGGTCTATAACGAAAACACTGATATATATATGTATACCGTATAAACCAAAAACAAACCTGGCTATTGCTAAACTATGTACTTTACAGTGGTATGGACTATGTATCGAGTACTCACTATCAATTACATAACAAGAATTGTATGTATGCCACCTTGTTTTTTATTCTATATAATTGACGTACTTCACTTGAAAGTGTTTATGAAAAATGTGATACGACAGTTCAAGTGGTACCATACTTGATAGTGATTGTGATAAAAGGTGATACCACAATTCAACAGTTATAGTTCCCTCTGGGGTCCACAGGTGATGCGTTTCAGCTCCTCGAATAATCACTTTGGTCCAGTTTCTCGAACATTTCTTAAATTCAGGAAATTTTTAAGTTTTAGGTTTTAGGAAAACCTCATCGAAAAAACCCCGAAAATTTCCCTAATATTTCCTTAAGTTTAATAATGTTTCCCAATGGAAAGTAAAGGTAAGGACTTTTCAAGTGTAAAGAACTTTTGCGAACCCAGGAACTGTATTGTTGAATTTCTAAACTTTTTTTTGTGTATTTCGCTTAGTGAGGGGACATAATATCATAAACATCATGATTTTCGGTAGCGTAAAACCTATTTCCACGAAACACTGGTTTTATATACAACAAGGCTTCTTCATGTTATATTTGAGTCAGTTATACAGGAACATACCTTGGCGACATTTTGCTTGTTTATTTTGATATTTGATAACAAATAAAGTATTAGGTAGTCTGCTTACAAATACGGTAAAGACAGGGATAAGATATTTGTAGATAAGCAATCTTTTATCAAACCTTGGGGTTTAAAACCAGGATACACATATCCCCAACTATTCAATTATATAGCAAAAATAAAACAATCAGGCGTATCTTTGCGTTTCTACATTTTATAGGATGTCGTGAGACAAACATAATTGGTATTCAACTTATCAATCAATTACTCAATCATAAACAAATTATACAGGAAGTAAGCGATGAAATACACTAAAACACATGTATCGCCCACCGTGTAGAACGTTTTCTGCTACGACGCTGATACATTGTCATTATAATGTTAATTCATAATTCCACAATCTGAAGGTAGCAAACGTTTGTCCCGCTTCACAATTTCTGACTATAAGATACGGCCGAGTTATCCTTCTTTGCATTAAACGTAGAACGGTCCTTCCAAACCAAATGAATAAACAACAATATCAACACTTAGAATGCTTAGAGTCGCAGGTCTTTTCAAACTTATAGTTATAATCTGCGAATTTGTCTTCCAAATCGGACAGTGTCTGTGGATAGTTATCTCCGTACGGTTCGGACATGGCGCCATTTTCGGAACCGTGTTGACTTATCATAGGTTTTATTTGTCCTGTAATTTTGTCCTTTCCAAGTTGTGCGCCTTTCACTCTTTTCCACTTCATCCTTCGATTTTGAAACCAAACTTTGACCTGGAAATAAAATAATAATAATTAAGTTTAGAAATAAACGAATAAATTTCAAACTTCAACACACAAATACATGTGTATCTAATGTAAAAATATCATATCACTCAAGGCAGAATATTTTGAATTCCAATGTTAAAACGCTTAGAAAATATTTAAAGAAATTCCTTAAAACAACGTAATGGATTTGCAGTATCAATGATCTTATAAAGAATTATTTATGATTTGTAGGATCATTCGATACCAAATGTGTTCATGATATCATGTGCAGATAGTGATATCCAAAACGGCCCAGATATTAAATTATAAATAAACATACATACATTCACAAACTTTTGCCAAATAATACTGTTGTCCGTAAATTCATATGCAGTTGATGTTGTAAAAGTCATTTTAATAGGAGGTTCATATACAGCACCGTAGTGAAAAATATTTCTTGAGCTGAAATCCGATTCTTAAATAAAAACTAAAATCACGACTTGCAGTGTCGACTTAATAAAATGGAAACTTAGAAAAGCAAGAGAAATAGAAAGAAGCAAGGTCTTACTTGATTTTGAGTTTACGTGAGTTTTATTTCTCAGGATTCATCCATCCAAGGTATGAAGATATCAGTTTGAATAAAAGACAATTTATGTCATTTACATAGCCACACTATTTTTAAGCTGGTGGGCTTTATTCTTTGTAAACGCAAAAGAAAATAAATAACATTTTTTTTTATAGATTCATCAGTATCAGTCTAAGCAGAGTTGATTTAGGGAATAAACCAACTTAATGTAAAAATATATATATATTGGTGATATTTTTTGAAAAAGCTTATGTCCAGTCACCTTCGTTACCAATTGAGAAGACTAGAATACCTGGGTGATTTGGTACAGAGACAGACTCAATAGAGGTATAGCGAGATTAACGGTGGCTTGATTGTGGAACCTGTTTAACGCGATCTACAGACCCCATTGTCTTTATACTCTTCTTGCACCGAATAAAGACATAATTCTAGTGCACTTGATTATGAATTTAGTGTATTATTTTAAGGATGTACACCTCTGAGAAGTAAAACAAAATCCTGTATTAAACTTTTTTTCTTATATAGATTTTTGGAAAAAGGAGTTAATGGCATAGTAGAAAATGCAAAAAAAAATGATATGTCCGTGTGTTCGTTTTTGTGCTATGATCCGTCAAAGATACCAATTTAACACAACATGTGATTTTAGGTGATTTTTTGGGTTTTGACCATTTGCAGAACAAATTCCTACAATTTCTTCCAATTGTGTTATCAGATATGTATGAATGTTTGTAGAATTGATGAAAATATTATTTTCTTTCAAATTATGGAAGTAAAATTTCTTAATCTTATTCTTTTAACTCAGAAAGGCGATTTTAGTTACCCCTACCCCCCATTTTCTAATGAAAAAAATACTTTCTTTACAATTTTTGCAGATTAAACGCTTAAAATAAAAAGTTCTGCTATTAAACTCTTTTTACTATTTAATGAATTAAAAGAAAATGTGTTTCTCTTTCTAAAACATCCACAACAATTCTTGTGCTTCATTTTTTGTCTCATTCATTTGTGTTATTTTTTACTTTTTTCGGGGTCAAAAATCAAAATTGCTTCAGTTACACTAAATATGTAAAAGAATATCAATAATGTATAATTTTCCAGTTTGTTGCATATTATTTTTATCAATTTAAATATTATAAAGTTGTACAGCAAAATTGAACCTGCTACAATTAAAAATGGCAACACAATGCGACTTAAGTGGTCAATCTAGTGTAAAAAAGGTGAAATTTTTGTTGAAGCGCAAGAAATACACACTAATACACGTTTTCGAAATGGCCGCAGAATTGGTAATTTTTTTTAAATTCTTGTAAAAAAGGTTCTTCAAACAACAGGCATCTAGTTTTTTGACATATTTTTTAGATGCGTGTTTGTTAATAAACAGATCAAAACGAGATTGAAACCTCAGAAGAGTACATCCTTAACAGATTTCCATTGTTTTTTATCCTCATGTGATTGAGATGTTCACCTTATAGCCAATTAATTGTGATGTGTACATTAAGCTTTGGCGTGAATGTTCAGTTTATGTTTTTGCTTGGAAATGTTGATTTGACAAAACAGCTTGAAACAAAAATAAACATATATTTGAATCTGCACTTGTTTTGATTCCTACAGTTGAAACAGGTGCGTCTATTTTATGGTCAATCCTCTGAACACCTATCTATCTGTCTATTTTACTCTGACTTTTTTTATGTATATATATGATTTTTTAATTTATTTTTAATTTTTAATTTTACTCTGACTTAAAAACGTCACTTCATGTTCTTAATAGTCACGTTTTACTATTTGGTGTGTTATATAAACGTGAAAAAAACTCTTTGTAATGTGTGCTACCTTGTACGATAGATCGATACAAGAAACTACAGAGAAGGATTATGCGAATTGAATGTTTATGAACAACTTGAACAAGTAAAGTAGACGAACTGTGTCGTTATTGCATGCAAGGCAGTTTTTCATAGATATGGTGTTGTATACAGTAAGAAATAGACAATGTTTCATTTTCCTACATTTCCATTCTGTTTCTCCTTTACTTTGGCTGTTACATAGTTACTATGTATATAAGTGTATTGTCTCTTTCATACTGTTGTTCATTATTAGTTGAGGATAAGAGCCTTTATAAGTTGCTATATAGCTTCAGCCCTATTCTCTTATTAATACCTAAAGTAATAGATAATGTTTATTTATTTTTCATTTGTTGAAAACTTACGTTTATAATGAAACTAATGTTGCAAAGATAGGGAACGTGAAAATTGAAGCAGAGAAATAAAGCTTTTGGTCTAACCTGATTTCATTTGTCAAAACTACTTCGAATTTTATCGATGTAAAACAAAATGGTTTGGAATAGATTTGTTGAGTTGTCTTTTGAAGCGTTTGTACTATAACATTATAGTTTAATATGTTTCATTAGGAAAGCTTAGTGAATATGGCTATGTAAACGGTTACATGTATGATATGTATCCATTCGTTATTTTAAATAAAGTGTTTTTTTTACTGTATAAATGTGAAACAATGGTACTTATGAAATATGTTTGACGGTGACGCTCATTTAAGTACTAATAGAAGAGGCCGTGACATGGTGAAATAATGTATCGAAACGCTTTGTTAAACAGAATACGATCACCCTTAATATACATTACTAATAAAGCTGTTTTTTCACAGAATTGCCTTTAAAAGATGGATGTAAGTCAGACCCAGGTGGTTGCACCTTTACGGTATCAAATCGTGAACTACAATTTTAATAAGACGTGTTTTATTTAAAAAAAGAAAACACTTATTTTCCAGTTTGTAGGTATCGGTCTACTACCAGAGTTGGGACTCTGGGTTCAACAAGCCTTATACATATTTGTCCTCATGCAAGATGGCTTTGATTCGTCACTCTTTATAGTTCATTCGTTTGGTCGTTCGTTCATTCATTTATCACATCATATATAGATGAATATATTATCTAATCATCTATATATCATAAATAAATGAATAGACGAGTTTTCAATCCTCCCCATTGTTTACCTGGCGTTCTGTGAGATCCAGGGCTACGGCTATTTCGTACCGCCTCAGTCTGGTCAGGTAGTTGTGAATACCGAACTCTTTCTCGAGTTCCCTTATTTGATTTTTAGAAAAAGCCGTCCTCTCTTTCCTCGGCTTTGACGATAGGTCTAGTTTGAACGCCGGACTGTCCCTTTCTGAAAACAAAACAACATTATTGATGAATCAAATTGATTGACTGTATTACAACATTCATACATAATTTTGTAAGGATGTTTTCCTTACATTTTACACACATGCACGCACACATAACCTTAGCTGTAAGTACGACGTGAAACAAAATAAAACCATACCAGACTTTACATTTTACACACATGCACGCACACATAACCTTAGCTGTAAGTACGACGTGAAACAAAATAAAACCATACCAGTCTTTACATTTTACACACATGCACGCACACATAGCCTTAGCTGTAAGTACGCCATGAAACAAAATAAAACCAATCCAGTTTTTACATTTTACACACATGCACGCACACATAACCTAAGCTGTAAATAGGACGTGAAACACAATAAAACCAAACCAATCTTTACATTTTACACACATGCACGCACACATAGCCTTAGCTGTAAGTACGCCATGAAACAAAATAAAACCAATCCAGTTTTTACATTTTACACACATGCACGCACACATAACCTAAGCTGTAAATTGGACGTGAAACACAATAAAACCAAACCAGTCTTTACATTTTACAAACATGCACGCACACATAACGTTAGCCGTAAATAGGACGTGAAACACAATAAAACCAAACCAATCTTTACATTTTACACACATGCACGCACACATAACCTTAGCTGTAAATAGGACGTGAAACACAATAAAACCAAACCAGTCTTTACATTTTACACACATGCACGCACACATACCCTTAGCTGTAAATAGGACGTGAAACAAAATAAAACCAAACCAGTCTTTACATTTTTAGTATAATGTTATTGTACCTTGGATTGTTTCAATCAAAACAAATCTTCAGCGTGTGATCAATTCTTTATCTAATTAGATAGTTGGCTTGTTAAGATCGTATAACTAGTGTTGGGGACTGTATACTGAAACTAAACGAACGGTTATCGATCATTGATGAACCATACCGAGACACTGTACATCACATTTTTACATTTACCACAGATTTATCATCAGTTTACGTTTGTAAGACTTGTAGATTTTCATAGAACCAGAGGCTATGTGCATTTTCCAAATGCATTTGATTACAAGAAGTATCTTGATATAATTTTTTTATATTTTATGTTAAAAAACCCCGATGCTTTGTATATCTTCCCAAGGATTTTGAAATACAGAACCGGTATGATGGCTTACACCTTCCCCTCTACCTCCAGAACTGTATACTATTATTTACGCACAAATTGGAGACCGATATCATTTTGTTACAGAATGTCCGTTATAGGTAACTTTTTATGTAGATATAAACCTATTTCCAACCATAAAGGATAAATCTGTTAAACTTTCATCTGATAATTAACCTTTAGTTAAAATGTAAAATTGTTTATTTATAAAGCAAATGCGAAAAGAAATGACGTATTATTAAATTGAAAGTAACACATTTCTATCGTATCCTACTGTTTTTGTAACACCTTCCGGTATATTGTTGGCAGTGCTGTAAATATGGTAGGTATTGATTAGACTGTTGCTATGAAGTATTGTGTATTACTTCCACATCTTAAATAATATGTTCCATCTCAAAGACCTGTCGTGAAATATACACTTAACATTATATATAATTATGATAAACCAAATAGTCTTGGTAAGGAGTATATCTAGTAGATAACTATTTTAAAACTATATCATTTTTTAACAATTTTTATTGGTAAACATTAGCATGCAATAAAAGGCAGATCACATATATGTATATTATATATTATAACAGCAGTAAATTTATCCTTACGGACTTTCATCTCATCAAGATGTATATACATGAATATAAATCTTTTGTTTTTCGAAAATAATTTGATTACGAAAAAAGCAATGTATACTATTGTTTGCTACATCGTTCAGTGGTTATCCATGGGATGGGCTTTGAAATAGCTTAGGAAATGAAACTTTCCGGTAGGTTTACTCTACAGATATACATAAAACCGTGGATCTAATAATTTAATAATCATTAATCGCCTAACTAGCCAAACGATCACTGACCCAACACATAGGGCTACCAACCCTCGGCGCTAATTCATTCCGGCGCTGGTCTGTCTGCGGTTTTGTCTTTTACAATAGCATGTCTGGCAAGGCACCTAACAGGGACACGACTTCATCGAAAAATGGTTAGTAATTTCCTGTTGCGAGAGTAGCTAAATATGGATTTGTTTCGTCATTATAATTGATGTTGTACAGGATTATTAATTTTTTACTTATAAGATACTAAATCGAACATTTGAAGTAGATATCCACCACAAGTTGATAATATTGTGTTTGTCGACCCCTTCCCAGTATATGTCTTTCCGGTATTTAAACTCCCTACTAAGGCCCCTGCTGCGGTTCTGAATAGCTGAAATTCGACAATTAAACAGATAGAATGAATCTCTTCAAATGTGGCGAAGGTTAATTGTAGAAATGCAGCACAGGTAGTCGATGGAGTGATAACGACGGATAGAGTAAATTAAGTAATTTCAACGCTCTTAAACCAATCACCGCTCCGTCAGATCCGACAACGAGTCAAAACCGCTTCATTGAAATTGTTTACGCAAAGTAGTTAAAAGTGTATTATATGTATCTATGGGGCTGATTAAAGGTAACCATTCATTAAAGAATAATCTGAACTGAATGTGTGGGTTAAATCAGTGATTCTACGAACATGACCTTGAGGTCAAAAATCAACTATATACGTTTGATTTGGGTGTTCTGTTAAGTTGTACGGGCACGTGTTTAGCTGTATCACAAACCACCATCTACACAACACATCGTCGTATTGTGTTATTGCTGTACTCACGTACTTATGATCAAAATTAATTTATACAGCGAGAATTATACATTTAAATCCATATAGCCGTGCATAGAGCACTGAACAATATATGAAGTATAACAAATGTGTTTATATTTATATATAATACAGCAAACGCTTCGTTTTCAAATATATGTCTAAAACAATCATGCTTCGAACGAGAGCGTTATTGTCACAAAACTTATGCTTTGTTGCGTTTAGTTTACTGTAAGGGAATATAAGTAAAACTAACTCCCAATAGTGTTAGTATATTCAAACGTCGGTAATCGAAATTCAGTCATTGTAGGGTAAGGCTGTAATGAGTTCGAAAAAATTCCATGAGGTTAATGCTGATGGCACTTTTCATATTTGTGGATATAGTAGTGACAATTTTAATTATTTGATAATAAATTATCGGTAATATGAACGCAATTTGAATTGCCACTTAACCGTGATACTGACGAACATGTCATTTAACGACCATGTCATTTAACGACCAACAAAATGTGCAAATCTTTATCGCGCTTCCGAGTTAACACGACTCATTGTAAACGTTTGATTGAGTTCCAATTATTATTTATCGAGATATATCAAAGATAAAATACCATGGTCAATGTTGTCGAGCTGTTTATAATGTATATTACTTGTTGACATAAAATTGTATTCGTAAGAAATATTTGGATACTTTATTAAGTTCGTGTTTTCAATGTCTATTAATATCACCTTGTACTATATATACTTGTTTGCCGACCAGTAGTGAACTTGTCGTCAGATTCTTATTAGAGCAGATATTTTTGTATTAGTTTTGCTGATATTAATATAAATAATATTATGGGAAGTTAATGAATATTTATGGTGAGGAAAATGGAATTATATTATTGTCTAATGAAATTCCTATGATTAAAAGGATCCATTTCCAATACAAATTTCAAAAACAATAAACTGTGAAAATCGTTTAGATGTTAGAATTATTTTTTATAATGATTTTATCAATAAAAGCGTATACTGTCACATAACAACTTCCATCATGCTGTCTTATGTAAAATAAAACAGAATTAGAAATTGAATGAAAATATTACAAAACGACATTCACGAAATTGTTCCAAACTATTCTTTTTATGAAATAATAACGGGAAAAACATCCCGAATTAGATTGAAAATCGGCAAAATATAGTTAAATGCATAACCGACAAAGCTAAAGCAGCAGTTTTCTTTCATTCACTGGCCGAAGATTGAAGTAAATTTATTGGGACCAAAGTGGAAATCAATGAGCAGACTAATGACAATTCAATAATAATTAACATCAAAGGTTGTTTCAATGGTTAGTATAACATATTCTCTTCAGTGGATATTTGCTTTCAATTTTCCTTCCGAGGAAACAAAGAAATGCGCTTAATTTTGTGATGATGATAGTAGTAGATTTTTAATCATTTCTCATCATAACCCAAATTTTTCTCCCGTCTAAGGAGTGTCGCTTTATATTCAAAATACAATGAAGTTAATTAACTATCCTATTGACAAATAGCATACAGTCAGTTAAAGTGTGGCTAAAGTCAAATACACAAAACTATAGTTTCTCTTCCCATGAATTTAAGCGTTGGTATACAATACTTTACCAATGACACAAAATCCGTTATATCCGTGTTTGACGTTAGCTACATCTCAATTCCCTTCTCTGGTGGATCACGAGCATATTGCCATCAAACGTTAGTAGTTACAACGCCCTCTCGATATCATATGTTTAACAAACTTTTATGTTATCAACCAACATATTGTGTAATAGATACATAGCTGTATGTATTCGTGAACGGACTTACATAAGCTGGTAAAATTCTTGTTCGATCTTTCTTGTCATTTTAACATACATTATACGGTAAAACGAAACAAAATACACTGTACAAAACGGTGTTCTCGCTGTATTAAAGAGTTTTATTATTATAAACGTATCAATACATATAGATCGAGAGAAAAACTTACATAGAATTATACCATTGTTTCTAAAATATGACGCTTTGGAGTATTTATATTCCTATTACATGCTATAGCTAAACAAGTTGTAGGTACATATGATAATATTACAACTGCTAAACATATGTTAAAACATATTTTCTATCAACAAAAACGGTTTAATTAATTGATTCTTTAAAAAAAAGCGTTGATATAAACAGTTTACCTAGTCGTAATAAATGTGTTTTCCGAAACGTCTAGGTAACAAATACTAGTAACATATAGAACGTCTAGGCAACTATCGCAAAATCAAAGTAGTCGTGATATCAAACTGTTATGGATATCAGAGAGGGATTTCTAGTTTCTTTTGATATCATAGACTATGCTATACACAAACACATACGCGTATCTTTAGTGCCTTACCTTCGGCTTTTGTACATGAAACTGGTGACGATGACGTAGACGGAGGTGAATCTGTTCGTAATGACGTCAGCTGAGAATACGCTGATGACGATACGTTCCTGTCGATGGAAGGATGTTTTTCCAGACCGGAATTTGATAATATGTCTTTATTGGAAACCGGAGAAAACTTATAGTCTGTTGTTGAGTCTCTAGACGACAACGATCGGCTGAAGTAATCCGAGGGATTTGACGGAAATCCGCCTCCTCCGAACGGGAAGTATCCGCCTGTGGGTCCATTCCGGGGATACCGATAGTCCGTCCCGGGATGTGGATACGTATAACCTCCGGGGGAGCTAGGTAATGCAGTGGAAGGTCCTCTGTACACTTTAGCGGCCAAGCTAGCCTGGTTTTGGAAGGGCTGGGTAAACCCGTAAGGAAACCCGGAGCTGTAATGATGGACGCCCGGAGAATTCACGCCGTAGATAGTCTGGTGAGCCATGGAATTTAATTATCCAACAAGAAACCCATTACAAACACCAAATGCTCAGATATGGAATAAAGCAATCTTCATCAAACGCGTGCACTCAATATAAATATATTTGTATTATAAATAACTAAACGTTCATGATTATGATGATGATGACTACTACGAGGATGATGACTGAAGCAATGATGATGATGATGATGATGATGGTGCTGGCGTAGGGTCTTTATCGCTTTCTGCTGCATTTGTTTTACTTTCAAGTCTGCAGATGTTTTAGCTATGCCTAGAACATTGAAGTACGGTATAAACCTTTTCTACTGGAGGGACCATTTTCTCCACGCGGAATCAGATTCATTCGGAAGAGAGTGGAGTAATCTGTGAACCGGACAACACTATCAAATTCGCAGTAATTCTCTGGTCAACGTGGTTGGTCCAGTAACAAAAGGAGGGGCAAAATGATTCGGAAGTGTCTGATTGACAGGGGAGGCGGGATTAGCGCTATTTCTATGTGCAACTCGATTCCCTTATCTCCAGATGGTAGGCACCTAAGATAAGTGAGCTGAGAAATCGCTTAATTTTCTATGTACAGGTTTCTACATAGTTTACAATACTCAACAAGCATCGCATGCTACTGTATGTAAATTAGATGAAGACAAATGTAGTTACGTAACCGATACCCAGTATATAGTAATGATGATACTCAATGAATTTATTTCTCAATTTAGGATTAAATTTCAAATCATTTATTAGATCATTATCACACTTACACAATTCATATTTATACACTGTATGTAATGCTAAACGACTTGATACTGGCGGGACGATTAAATACCCTTCAATCTGTTTATCTATATAAAAAGTCTGAAGTTTTCTCCATTATTTACTACGTGTTGGTTTGTTCACTGAAGAACTGCAAAGTTTAAAGCAATAAAAGGGGTAGCGCAACACGGTTATTAGAATGAGTGGAAAAGTTAACGAATGAATGAATGAGGGAAATGTAAATGGGTATAAAAATGCATGTTTAATAATTTAGCAATTTATGTTTTATGTTTTACAGTTAAATCGTTAAAATTGTGTTCTATAGCAGAATACTTGTTTCTTCACCCTATTCAAGACACCTAGTGATATATTCGACTTTTGATAGCGGAGAGTTGTAGTTGAGGTGAGCGAGGGGAAGGTGGACAACATTAGTAGGCTAATATAAAATCACCCACAAATTGTAACGAATAATATAAAAATATAAGGTAATAACATAATGTCAAATAAAGTGATGAACGGATATTGTATGAAAGAGAGTGAGGTGTATAAAAGCTCCCCTGCGAGAGGACACTATTTGTTAAGGAGAATTAATCCTAGGCCCCCCCACCTTGGCAGTTCTCCATTTATCAACAAGACGGATAAATTAAATAAAAATAAATAAATAAAAAGTAATACAGGACCTGAACTTGAGCAAGCAATTCCCAATTGAAGTGATATTAACGGAACAGCAGCACACCAGAAATCAAAGTCATTTGAGAGATTGACTCGATCGCGAGGCGTGCTACAGCATTACTTGAAGAGGAGGGTCAGTCCTCGCTTGGTGTAGAATGAATTGCCGTTATAATATAGATTACATGATACATTTTTAATATCATCATGATCATCATGATCATCATCATCATCATTAAAATATTTCTTTCATTAATTGAGGCTAACTGCTTCTCGTTTTTTTTTCTTTTCTTTTTTCTTGTAGGTCGAAGGAAATAACATGTAAGTGAGTCTGCCAGTTTCGACATAGAAATAAGGAACAAATCAATTACAGTATATTACGCATTAATGCTAAATTTAATTACAATACACTTGAGACTGTCAGTACAATTTAAATGTTGGCACTTACAGTATCTGGTATCTAAATATCAAACGAGAATGTGATTACTTTTCAATGAGCATTAATACATAACACAAGTGTATGATAAACAAATCAGAGAACAGTATGTTGTTAAATTACATAGAAAATCGACAACGCATAGATACTGGCAAACCATGAATGTATAAAACATATCACTGAGGACATGGAAATTTAATTGACGTAAAAAATGGGTTGTATTGGAAAGTCATATGTAAGAAAATATTATAAATGAAGTAAATTAATAAAGCATGTGGAATCAGCAAAATAAAGCCACTCAATCACTAAACAAAAACAAATACAACTTAGCGTAATGTTTAAATATGTATAATATACAATGAATCTGAATTTAAAGATTAACATTTATATTGAAACATCAACACTTTATGCAATAAATACGATCTGATATGGCTTTGCTTAAAATTACATAAGCTTCTCAGTTTTACATATAAAATATAAAACAGTGAAAAACATTCATCAAGAAATAATCACATATCGCAATATATTAAACACCGAAAAACAGCCAACTAGCAACCATTACATACCACAAAATGTAAAACAGAGAGAAACAGTCCATAAGAAATAATTACAGTTCGCAAAATATAAAACAGAGAGAAACAGTCAATAAGAAATAATTACAAATCGCAAAATATAAAACAGAGAGAAACAGTCAATAGGAAATAATTACAGTCCGCAAAATATAAAACAAAGAAATACAGTCAACAAGAAATAATTACAGTTCGCAAAATGTAAAACAGAGAAATACAGTATAAAAATCAGTAGAAAAGGTTCACTCAAAACAGTTTTATATGTTGTGATATGTAATCGTATGAACTCGAGATGCGTAAGGGTTAAAAAGAGAAAATGTTTTGATGAAATCGAAAATAGACCAACAATGTACCAGACATTGTACCGTGGAATCAGTAACTTATCATTAAATCTACATATTATACATAGTTGTCATATTTCTGTTGAACGAAAATTCATATTTGATAAGCTAATATCAATGAAAATAATTTGATAACTGTTTGACATAATGATTCTAAGTATATTGAATAAGGTCCAAGGTAAAACTACTGTTATTTATGAGATTGCAGTTGATGGGTTTGGGAAAAGTTGTAAGTGTTTAAGCTGACAATACTGACTTCAAAAGGTCGGAATGTTCGACGGAAGTATAAATCATTAAAATTACTCCATCGTATGGAACATTATAGAATAGCCATTCAAAATATAGACAATGCCATTTTGATATTGTTCCATTTGCAAAATGTAATGTTTGTATGTTTCTCTGAATATCAGGAAGGTTTGTTCTGGTGGTTAGGTGTAGCGCCCACATTTCTCAGGCACATCATGTAGGTAAACGGATTTTAGGAAGCAAATTAGGGCTGTAGATTAATGACTCTAGCAGCCTGTCGATCAGGCCCCGCGGGGAGAAAAACATCTGTGGACCAGGCAGCTTCGCTGGCGAGCGGATTTTAATTTGAAGAATCACAAAAATCGACTTTATTGCCGCTTGTCGCCCGCCAGGAGATGTGTGACGTAATTGACGGGCAATCGTCGAGATTGAGATCTCCCAAACCCTCCGAAAGTCATAACTTTTATTAAACGTCTGAAACCCTAATTCATTAGGAATAGTACATATACGATATAGTATATAGGCATGAGCTAAGTATTGCGGTACGTACATACAAAACGGTACCACTGATGTTCTGTTTATGTTTCGATATAGGTCGTAGGCAAATAAGAACAGTGACATGAACACAAAGTATAAAATATATACCACTTTACAAAATCACAAGCTAGTAGGCGTACGCAAATAAGTACAGTGACATGAAAACAAAGTATAAAATATATACCAATTTACAAAATCGCAAGCTAGTAGGCGTAGGCAAATAAGTACAGTGACATGAACACAAAGTATAAAATATATACCACTTTACAAAATCGCAAGCTAGTAGGCGTAGGCAAATAAGTACAGTGACATGAAAACAAAGTATAAAATATATACCACTTTACAAAATCGCAAGCTTGTTGGCGTAGGCAAATAAG